AGCAGGTTGTGTATAATCAGTGAAGTGTGTCTCTGTTCAAAGGATGACCCAAATAACCAAAGAAAATATGATAAATCTAGTTTCACTGGATTTATTAAGGTGCATGCATTGAGGAAATATTTTATCGCTAAGAAGCAGATGCAGACTTGTGCTGGTACTGTGTTTTAAAGCCGTGGCAGGATAGAGAAAAAGTTTAGTTAACCAGAAATCTCAGTGACAACAGACAAAACAGAGAGTGCATCTCATGAAAAATGCACAGGGAAGCCGCTTTGAATTGAAGTAGCAGTACTTTAAAAAACAAAAAAATAACTTTGAAATTAAAAGGAAAAGATAGAAGTACCTGATAATAATGGACACAGCACGCAACCATTTTACAATAGATATTTTTAGTCAGACATTCATATGAGCAGACATGACGTTGTGTTTTTGTACTCTTTAAACTTGAACCCAGCATTCACTGGATTGCATGGGGATTTAGTCAGCTCAGACATTTATGCTATGTCTAGGATGCTATTTTTATACACAGTCTTTTCTTTTGATGTGACTGGAATTGTACTGAACAATCGAATGCTGTTTCCTCAGTGAATTTGAATTGTGCCTTAAGAGATTTCTAGTTCAGACATCACTGTGCTTTCTGGTCAGGTCGCATTACTGACCTTTGAACTTTGAAAGTTTGTGCCCTCCTTTCCTGCAGAGTGTGCAGTCCCTTCTGGTGATTACTATATTGACTGCTTACTCAGCTGCTAATTTTATGTTGATGCCACTACTGTAATTCTAGCCCTCAATCTTACAGAATTTTCTTATAGGAATCAAGAAGAGTTAATGGTAATTTCTTATGATTCTTTGCAGATTGAAAACCTATCTGAGGGTGCTTACATTTGTAAAAGGTCATACTTGTTATTGTGTTTTGCAAAAAGGTGAAGTTCTGTATGAAGGACAAGATTAAAAGCCCTGACAACCAATTTTCCTAATCTATGCAGCGGTTTTAAGTGGGTGGGGCTAAGGTGAAAAATGTGACATCATGTACTTCCATGCACCAATAACAATTTAATCAAGGTGACTGTTGACAGTGATAATTGTGGTGTTGTGTGCTTTTGTTGCCAGGCAACGGTCGATCTTGAAGGCAGATGAGTCTTTGAGTGTTAATTGAGTTGTAGCTATACTGACTGATTTAGCATTACACTCCTGTAACACAACCGGTGTTTCTATGGACAGTTTAAAAACAAAAAGTATCAAAATCTTGTCTTTCTTGTCAAATGTGGAACTTACTTTTACCCACAATGCAACTTGGCCACCAAGTAGCATATGCTAGTTGCGGCTTATGAAGCCTTGGGTCGCTGGCCTGTAGCAGAGATGAGGAGCAGGCTACAGAGGTTTTGGTAGGCTCACTTCTTTCTAACTCCATGTTCCCAAATATTTTTTATTTTCAAACTTGTCTTCAGCCCAACACCAACGCTAATGCAAGTGACATTACTTGAGGCAGTTTATCAGACTTCATACAATTTCCTCTGGAACCACAAAAGGCTTTATACAGCTTTTTTCACATTTGTTGTAGTACTGCCCATGACCTGTAAACACATTGATGTGTAAAATTGGAATTCCCCCTTAATGAATAATAACTAAGGCTTTTTTCCTCGTGAACTTTTCTTGTTCCTTATTTATCCATAAATATTTTATGTTATAGAGAATTTTAAACCAGTAAAATGAAGAAAAAAGATCCTGCTGTTGAGGATCAGATATAAAAGAAATTTAACTTAAGATAAATGAGTTTCCTGCAAAGCGTTTCAAAGTCAATAAGTTCATTGTCATTATTTGGCAAAGATAGATGAAAATGTAAAAAATGTCATTTCACCTGTCAATTAAAGATTTCCCATGTTGAAATTAAGACTCGATGACTGTTTTAAAATATGAAAATCACATGTGGGTATTGACTGTTTTGCACATTTGATAAACTATGAGCTCCACCCACAAAGATGTGAGGAGGTGAGATGAAGCTCATGCTACATTACCATGGGGTCTGAAGCAGAGTGTTTCCCCACTCTCTGTGAATTAGAAATATTGTATCCTGTTCTCTCTGTTTCTTTAAAGCAGACCACCAAACAATCAAATGGACCCTTGAAAGCAAGGTAATTGCAGACAGCTACTTCTCAGAGTGTTTTAGGTGGATGTTTTCCGTCATAAGTTCATTATTTTCACGTTTCTAAATTTAATTTTCATGCTTCTTACTTTTGCCCATTAAGGTGCTCCTTCTGGTGTTTTAGGAGAGTTTCTTTGAGATGCGTTTTAAAGGCAAATCACAACTTGAAACTGTTCCCTCTCAGTGCATGTGAACAGTCTCTTATAATAATCTGTGTCTGTGCCCATGACAACTGGACAATTTAATCAGGACGCTCACGACTTGCCGGCAGGTAATGGGAAGCCATAAGTGGCTCGACTGTTGTGAGTAAAAGTGCAGAAGGTGATTATTACTCTGGCTTCCTGCAGACAAAGAAGAAGAGGAATAATACCTGGCTTGTAACTCTTTGTGGCAAAGACCTGAGGCCATATATATTCATATGCACAAAAACATGCATACAGCATTTCACACACGTAAACTGGTGTTTATGAAGCAAGAACGTGTTCCAGTCATGGGTGTTATGATAAAGTAGAAAGTGAAAAGGGAATTTAAATAATAAAACATTTTTATTTTATTAGCCAGCTTCACGGGCCGTGTCATTGTTTTTAACCAAGCTTGCTGCACACGTTGGTCAAGAATGAATTATCTAAACAATTCTTTAATGGACTGACATTAAAATCTGGCAGGGACATTCAAAGTTTTATGGATTGTTTTCCATGTATATGGCCGATGGCCTTTTGAAATGCTGTATACATGATCTGTGATCATCATGAGTGGGTTTATAGTTAAACCTCCATATCTGTACTTAACTACTGTACATGAAAATATGGATGAGCTGTCATATCAGTTTGCTGCTGTTCATAAATCAGCTGCTCAGACTTGAATGACTGTCCTTCTCAAACTAAAGAAATTCTAAATATTATTCAATAGTCAAAATATTCAGAGAGAGGACAATAGTTTTAATTGATCTGTTTAAGAATCATTACATCTGACTTGTTAGCAAAGGTTGTGCTTCATTCATGATACTTAGAGAATGAAATCATAGGGTATTGATATTGTAAGACTATACAGACTGTCTCCATCTACGAGAAATCCGTAATATAAGATGAATATATTAGGCTTCTCCTACTAATGAAAGTTACCATCGATCAAACCTACATAGTGCAATCGGACTAACAATCTACAATCATTATACTGTTGATTCCTTTGATGAAAGCAAAAGTGAAAACCCAAAATAGCATACGAAGACTGAGAATACTGAAATAACGCACCCATAAAAACGCACACTCAAACGAAAAAAAGCTAATAGTGAGTACAGCAGAATATCACCCGCGCCACAAAAAACACTGTATTGATGCCCCTCCATCCCACAAAGCTGCTTCAATCAGGAATAAGTGGGAACTTTATCCTCTTAACGAGTTGTTGGAGGAATTGACCCCATATTTTTCCAAATTTACTGGAGCAGCCCCTCACTGAAAGTCTGATTTTTGCTGGTCTAAGAAAGTAGAGGATGTCTCTTACCCAGAGGGTATGTGAGGGAGGTACTGTTGATTTCCAATTTGTCAATATTAGTCTTCTAGGCAGTAGTATAATGTCTAAGAATAAATAGGAGAGTGTCCTAGAGCCTTCAGTAATACAGATTTGGTAGAGTTTACCTCTATAAACAGCCAGGTTGGGGGAGGATCAAAGACTCATAATGAAGCCAGTAATAAAAAATCCTGATATTGGCAGCCCAATAATAAAAACCTGAGATTTGGTAAAGCAATCCCTCCAAGTGGCCACGCTCGTGCATGTGTGCCCAGTTCCACAGTGACTGAGATTTCTAAACACGTGTATGCACGACTTTAAAAAAGAATATGTGAGTGTATTTCTATTATTTTTGTGTACGCAGACTTTTAGAGGTGAATCTACAATTTAATGGATCTGGCTGGAGTTGTAGTGATTTTTCATGTCTAAGGAAACCACGTGGAATAGATTTTTCCAGGATCCATTCGTCACTTGTTCTGGTGAATATGTGCTGTAACTTTATACTGGTGCCAGTAATATCCCTCAGACTGTTTCATGGGCAACAATCAATGAACTCAACTCCAGCACCCAGACTACTCTCCTGCATATATGGCCAACGCACCTGAGCTCTTTTGACTTCAGGAAGTTTCTCTAACCTTACAGAGGGCTTTATGAAAAGTGACTACACTGAACTGATGTTTCTCCGACATATTGATTGCTTATCTCTTTTTGCAAGCATTCAGACCTGTAAGACAACTTTTGAACTCTCACACTCTTATCTCTACTTCTCTGCAGGCATGCAGGTGCTGTAAGTGACAGCAGTCTTGGGTGAAAATGGTGTCAAATAGTTGAGCTTTTCTGTGACAAAATTTTTTTCTGATTTACAATTCAATCCAAAAAAAAAAACAGCCTGAAAAGAAGAAGCCCACGCAGTGCTTATGGTGCATAGGGCTTTTCATCTGAATCATTGATCATTATCAGAGCGAATACAACACACCCTGAAGATGCTGTATGTTTCTAGGAAAGCTGATATGTTATTTTCTCTGAGGGTGTTAGATATTGTAAGATAGTGTGAGATTCTATTAATTCTTCTGGAGAATACTCAGTCTCTATAAATTATTCAGGTCTAGACAACAAAACAACCAACATTTCCTAGGAAATAATTCAAAAGATCTATACCCAAGGGACAGGCACTAAGACCCAGCTTATTTTTAGATGGCATTGGTCTTGTCCCATGTTAATTACATCACAAAGTCATGTCTCAGCCTTGTAACACTCAACCCAAAGTACTGCTGCACTGTGCAAAGCAGAAGTAAGTGATTCTGCACCTGGGGTTGTGTGTTGCAGTGTAATGGTTATTCGTTTAGTGGCTACTTACTGCGCTGCTGGTGCCATCTGTGTCTGTTAGCCTCTGGTGCAAATCAAACCAGACTGTCTGCAAGGAGAAGCACAACAACAACAACAGCAATAACATGTCAATCAGCAAGACCAACGACAACAACTGCCACAGCAACAGCTTAAAGCGGACATTACTCACTCACAATGAAAGGCATTAATGGGCACGCTAAAACAGGCAGAAACAGGCATGAAAGCAGGACTCTATGTTTTTTTAAGATTCAAAATAAGGTTCAGCAGGGGATTCGGGAGGAGGGTTTGGATGGGAGGTGGATGCATGCCAATAAGAGGAGCACAAAATAAAAGAGAATGAGTTATATCTGCATCAAAGACCTAAATATACAAGAACATTGAACTGCAAAAAGTCTAACTGAACATCATGATGCAGAAGCTACAGGTGGTAGGAGTTAACATATTTTTTCACAAGCCTACTGTATGTGCAAAATAAGGAGGAGGTAGCTTGTAATGTCAGTGTCAGGACCATTTAATACACCCTGCCCACCTAGTTACTGTTGCTGTGGCTCTCAGGTTTTCCATTCTCGCACAGCACATGCAATTTAAAATAATAATAATGATAAATTCATTGTAATTTGATTTCACACAGAAGTAAACAATAGGAAGTGACTCATTTCTATAAAAGCCCATGAATGCTGCCTGCTGAAATCGCAACTGCTGTCACTGGCAGATTTTCTGACCTCCAGCTAGCCAGTGTAAGCCAATGCTAATGCTACAACTCACTCACTTCTTTTTTTTTTTTTTTTGCTTTTTCTAGCTTTAACATGTATTTTTTTAATCCATCCTGTAACCCAACATCAGCTAAAGACATGCCCCTCTTTGGAAATAAGAATAAGAAAGCTAGCTTAACTTTTGCTAGATACTCCACCTTTTCTCTTCTCTGTTTTGTAAAGCCTAAAAAAAACAGACACAACCCTCCAAGCTCTGTACATAATGAGTATTGCTCTTATTAGATTTCTGTGCTTCGGTTTAAATGAATGAGACACAAATTAAAACTACAGTTAAGTTCAAATATGCTCTTCAGGCAAGACATTAGAAAAGCCAGGTGCACTAGTGTATGTGAGTGTGTGTGTCTGTGTGTGAAGAGAATGAGACATTGATTTCTAGTTTTCTCCTCCGCCCTCACTTCCTGTGAGTCAGACTTATATAAACCTTTTCTAATAAATCACAGTAAGAGCTGCAGGTTTCTGCCACCAGGGTGACTGATGGGTAGCACTGTTGCTACTGTGACAGAACAGTGACTGCTTCATTCGCAGGGTAACTAAGATTTTTACCAAACGCAGCAGGGAAAGTCAAGAAAATGGAGTCTGGCTCAGTGGGCAGACGGCACACACACACACACACACACACACACACACACACACACACACACACACACACACACACTCTACTGGAAGCATACTGAGTTCCAGGGTGAATGATTTGAACTTAATGTAACACAGTCTGGTCACAGCTGGACGCAAATGAAAGGTGCTGTGTGTTGTTGGTTGTTCAGCACATAAAAGATTTCAGAGGTGAAGACTCACTGTCTGCTATTTTCTTTTACTGCACAACCTACACTGAAACAACTTCTTGTGAAAAATAGTTGTTTACCCAATAGACCTTTCTCAAGGTGGACATTTTGACTTGTCAAACACAGGTTTAACTAATAACATTTATTAAAGGCAATACATTCTTTTAAACCTGCATTAACTGATTTTGTCCTCACCAACTTGCACTTACATGTACTCTTGTCAGTACGTAAAAGTGCATGACAAAATGACAATAAAGGAATCTTAAATCTTAAGGTGAGACTGAAATTAAAACAGTCACGGGTGATAAAACTAAGACAATGAGCTGAAAGATGATCTGAGGGGAGCTGGAGATAATTAGCCCATCTGTAGTTTCGTCACTACAAGCAGCACTTTTTACGCCACATGCAGTTTTGTGATCTATTATCAGTATAAAAATATTGATTATATCCTTTTTAAGGTGTCCTAAATCCACGTAATGTTCAAAGCTTTGCAAGACTGCTGTTATAAAATAAAGATTATAGCAGGTTTAAGTTGTGTTAAGATTTAATCCGATGGCTGTTTCAGCTTTAATAATCACAGACTGGAGGACTTAATTTATCCACCTTGGTATTTTTCCACTGTTGTTTGCTGAATACAAATACGTAGCAGTGAGATCTGCCATTACAGGACAGTGTTGTTGGAGTTATAAAAGACAACATTAGATTCTTTTTACTGCAAAAAAAGAAGAAACCTGCTATCATTTTACTTGTCAGTTTTCAGTCTCTGTATCACCTATATCAGATGTGCAGCTAGTATCAAAGCCTCTCATCCTGAGATTGACTATTCCAGAGGAGAAACATTTTCTTGTCTGTGGCACACTGAGAGCAATAAAAAATTGAAAAAAAAAGTCATATTTTGCAATCAAAAGAAGAAATAAACTCCCAGGGGAGTGTGGAGGAAGACGGCGGGGGAATCTTAAAGTGAGAGCGAGCAACAGAGGCAACATAAATTTGTCACTTTGAGCAGAGTTTGCAGGTAACAGGATTTCCAGTGTGTTATCACAGCGCAATGGTGCCAACGCAGGGCACTATTTTCATCTTGCCAGACACAACATCACTCAGTGTGTAGCTGGCTTACTATTCATTCAGTAAACAATTCATGATTCACTCCGACGCAGTGTGGTGATATCATTTCCTCTTCCAGACTCCTGCACAGTCTTAATACTGGGATCTAAGCAGGTAATACCAGGCCAAACAGAGAGGCAAAGACAAAGCCACATTCAATAAGCCTCCTCAAAGCCATATTTGCTTTGATATGATATGATTACTGCAATATGCTGTCTGGTCTTCTGAAAATCTAATCCAGCAGAAAATGTCTATTCATTCGCTTTTCTGTAGCTCTCATTATTCTGACAACACACTTAGAAAAATAGGTCACCAAACTTTTATTTTACAGTGTTTTTCTGCTCTTCTCTGCTGTCATAGGAAGAGTAATTATTGGGATATTTTCTCAAGGAAAATCAAGTGTAAAAAAGAAATTCACTGTGATGATGACCCTAGTGAGTGATCTGGCTAAAACTGTATTTATGTGTATTTATTTTTAAACACAAAACTGTATTTGGATTATACCATGGGTGGGCATGGTGCATACTGGAGGTGGGTGGAAATGATCTAATCTGCTTAATTTTCTGTTTTCTGTTTCCATCCGTACACCTCACAAAGCATATTTCTAAGTTTAGCTGCCAATGAGCTAATATATTTAACCATGTGCCTGAAATAACCAAAAATTTAAATACATGTGAACAAAAAAAGAAAAGAAAATGAAAAGTGACTGGTTGCAATGGGAGGAGGCCCAGATTAAATAAATTTTATTTGGAATATTTAAAAAATGAGAAAGCTATTATGTGGGTTTCCATCCACATTTTTTATGCGCATTTTCAATTTGTGCATAAAGTAACCTGAGTGGAAATGAAAATCTTGAAAATATTGCACAGAAGTTTTTACAGTCAGCTGAGGTGGAAAAGTTGATGTATTGATAAAAGCAAAAACCGACTTCACAAATCAATCATGACCCACATGAAGCATGTGACTGAAGCTTCTGCTCCACTGAATAGCCTGACAACAGCAGCAGACACAAGCATCTGTGTGGAGCGAAGCGGCGACTGTAACCTTCCTCAAATTAATAAATGAAACAAACAGAAATGCATCATTTCCTTCACGTTTTCTACATTGGTTTTCACATTTTAAACTGGTTAATGTTTGACTGGCATTCTTATAACTACCTCATTGATTTAATAGCACCTGAATGGAAAATTAGCGTCAGCTGCAGCTTGTCTTGATGAAGCAGCTCCTAATTTTAGTGGAATAATAGCAAATGGAGACATGTACTAGTTCACTTTCTTCAAATTCATTTTAAATTTGCTCTACATTTGGATGGAAACCTGCACAGAGACAAAAATTTGAAAAGCGCTGTTTGCCCATTAGTATGCACTTTTAAGACGGTCCCTAACCTCAGCTCCTCAGTTTCCTGTCTTCTCTCAAGCTGTGCACAGTTCCAGGCCTGACTATGCCGGATCATGAATAAAAAATAATGTACTACTAAAAATGTGGATGCTTTTTGTATTAGCTCAGAGAGCATTATCTGTGCATATTTGAATAATGTATTCATTTACACTCCAACTAAATACATATTTATATACATTACATACATTTTTTACTCTGTCCCCTGCTCCTACCTCAAAGGATTTTGACACAACCTTTCATTTCACATTCATTCATTCGTTTGCTGGGAGCTTGACTATAAGATGTCCACCCCCGCTAGATGAGACTGGATGAATTAATGCAACATCACTGTCATCTATACTTTTCCCTCTGAGCAAATTTCAGCCTTCAATTAATTACTAGCTACTTTCCCAGCAGTTTAAAAAGGAATCATTCCTGAGGAGTTTTCATTATTGTCTTAACAGGTGAAAATCACACTCGACTGTGCTTTCTCAACCGTGACAAAATGTCCTTTGTGCCGCAGTCACTGTAAACAAGTCAGTGTAATGGGCTGTCTGGAGGGCTTCAGGGTCACAGGTGATTATTGAACGATTCTTCGGTGAGAGGCGTTTCAATCTTTTCTGCCACAGTGCAGGTCACTCGACTGAGGGAAACCGTTAGAGGTGTATTAGATCATCGTCAAGGGTCAAAGGCTAAAGGTTGTTTCTAAATAGAAGTCAGGGTCGGAGACACAGGTCTGTTCACACGCACCTGATCAAAACATTCAGTCTCTCTCGTCTTTTCTATTCTTCTTTTCACTTTTTTTTTTTCTTCTTCATGTGATTCTCCTTGTTTCCTCCCACATCCTCCCTCCCCCCTGGTAGTACATTGTGTTAAGTTATTCTTAGCTCTTTTCACTGTAGTGGACCACTCCCCCAAAGACAGCCGAGTCTTCTGGGGCCCCATTAGCCTTAACATGTTCAGTACTGGACAAGGCGCAGGCAAAGAGGGAGGGGGAGGAGGGGAGGTGATAGATGTGAAGATGGAGGAAGAGGGTGGGTGGGGGGTTTGAAAAGGCATCTGGGACCAGAGAGCTGCCACAGGAGAGGAGAGATAAACTCTGCAATAGTTTGGACGTACGGCCTTTCTCTAATTGTCTCCTCTTCTTCTCTCTTCAACCCCTCCCCCTTCATCGCTTCCTCCCTTCCTCTCCATCACTAAGTGTTAATTAACTCCTTATGCCAACCCCTCCTTCGTCTCCTCATTAACCCCCTGCTTCTTTCACTTTCCCCTCCTGCTCCATGTTTTTCTTTCTCCTGTCCTCTGCAGATCTTCAACTTCAGTATGCTACAGTTGGAGTCGTCCAATTTGGCCAGTGTAACATCTTAAAAAAAACAAAACAAATCCTCCATGTGCTGACAACTCTGTAAAAGAAAACCTGTCAGGACAAGATCACTGGCTTTTGGAGCTGATACAGGCGTTCTAGCAGTTGACGAACTGAACAGAGCGAAAAATACAAGTAGAAAATCAACAGTTCAACAGAGTTCAGAGTCCATCAGTCTGTTTTAAGGTCTGTAAACTCATCATAACTCGTGTAATATGCAGCTGTGTAATGATGAATGTTTGTGCTTGCATTTAACAATTTGTGGGGTCAAAACAGAGACAAACCTCCTGTTTGGAGGGTAAGACACTAAACTTAACAGTCAGAGAAACAGGTCGTTGTGATGATAAATCTCATGAAAAGACCAAAACAAACAATCTGTTAGTTCTTTCTCTCGGTGCTTTCTGACAGTGTGGCCACAAGGGAGTCACAAGATACATGTGAGAGGTTGCCAGACGAGTTATGACAGAAGAACAAATGCATTTTTCCCACTCCACAAAACTCGTGTAATTTTTCTTGTGAAATTTACAAATAGGTTATTCCCCTTCAGGCCATTCAGGCCATTTATTATCTAATTTGACAGTCAAATTAGATAATAAAAGAAAGATTCTGTGGCATTCATTTGTCTGTTTATGTTTCACAAAGGGCTTTAACGTGAGCCATGCCATACACCAAGGAAAGAAATCGTATAACATCCATACGGGTTGTGTAGCAGCCTATACATACAGCTGCTAAAATCTTTTTTTAATGCAATGGTATCGGATCAGAACTCGGTACCAGCTGATACACAGGTTCAGGTATCAGGATGCTGACATTCTGAGCCATGAATACTCACTAGTTTTTACTACATTATTACATGAATACTCAGGACTCTTGGTTTGGACCACACCCATTTTTGAACTTTGCCTTCATTTTGATCTCAAGAACACACCTGTAAAGTTTCATGGCTCTATCTTGCACCGTGGTGACGCTAAAATCTGTCCACAGAAACCGCCTCTGTGGTACTTCCTGCTAAAGTGGGTGTCTCCAGGACATTTTGCCATGATGATACACACGCACGCACGCACGCACGCACGCACGCACGCACGCACACACGCACACATAAGGTGAAAACAATACCAGCCTCCCTGTCACAGCTGGTAAACATTGAATATTGCCAACTTTATCCTTCAAGACTTTAATCTGGTTAAGGTGGGGATTAGGCATATAGTGGCAAGGGTTAGGGTAAGCCCCCCGGGAATACATGTAAGTCAATGCTATATCTTCCTAAATGACCAAAACAGGCGTGTGTGTGTGTGTGTGTGTGTGTGTGTGTGTGTGTGTGTGTGTGTGTGTCCGTATTCCTTACCTTATTCTCCAGTCGACCAATTAGTTCAGCCAAGCGGTTGATCTGAGCCTCCAGACCTTCTTTCCTCACCTCCACTGCACCTGCAACACACACACACACACACACACACACACACACACACACACACACACACACACAGTCTAAATACACTGACTGTACTTTAATTTCTCAGTTGTGACTTGAGATAATACAGATGGATTGAATATATATATATATATATATAGACAGAGAGAGAGAGAGAGAGAGAAAGAGAGAGAGAGAGAGAGAGAGAGAGAGAGAGAGCCCAACAACTCATTCTAATGTCTTTTAAACCAGAGAATAAATAACTCATCCTTGAAAATATTATCAATCTATCTCTGTTGAGTAAATCATCAGCAGGGCTTTCTTTTTCCCGTTTCATTTGTTTTCATTCATACAGTAAAGACACAGCTACACTGAGCAGGTACTGAAAGTACACTAAAACTATATTTGCACTCTTCTTCTTATCTCTCTCTTCATTTCCTTTGTTTCATCATGAATATTTCATGTAAAGCAGGAGTTGCTAAACGGCTGATAAATAGCCAATTATATCTGTTTATAGGAAGGAAGTCGCCTTTCCAATGAAAGTAAAGGAATGGACGGATGGGAGGCCAGCTCCTTTGAGGTGCTCTGTTTAATTGGCTCTTATTCCAGTGTGATTTTGAGATGCCCAACCACACAGGGCTCCTCCTAATTAGCTTTGGTCTTAACGCAATATTTCACTATGGTACAAAATGTTTACTTTGTAGCAAGAAAGACTTAGTGAATTAGAATTAGAGGAATGATTTGACAAGAGTAAAGCCCTTTTTGCAACATTTATTTATGGTTAGTAATATACAGATTGATACTACCTATAATATTATAACCATGAATTAAGAAAGTTATTATTAATTAATTATAAAGCAGTAAAATGATTTCTGTGGAAGAATATAAGCAACATTAACTCGTAGCACTTGTAAACATTTCCCATAAAACCTTCTTGTCATGAACAACAGTTGGTGGCGGTAACGTGCCAAGAAATTTAGCAACGCACCAATAAAGGCAAGAGAGAAGAAGACTGCTACCAAGTAAAAATGGATGTAAACAATTAATGTTTTAAAAAAAAAACAGTCTGCTTTTCAAACATGGTGATGACATTTTTGAGTTGTTAGACTTCACAGTGAAATAGTGAATGTGAAAACACGTTTCGCTTTCTTCACAAGAAAACTCAACAGGGCACCTTTAATGTGTTGACAGTGCATTGATAAAATGCTTCACATAGCGCCTTGAACTATTCATTAACATTAATTCATTAACTATGGTGGAATGTGCAGTCCACAGCCGGGAAATTCCTCTTGCTCCTCATTGTCTTTGTAGATTATTTATGTGTGTTGGTTCACAAAAAAAAAAACTGAGAGGTAAAGATGGAAAACGGAGAAAACACGATGTTTCACTCTCATTCATCCCAATTTAAAGGAACGCCTCTCCTTTCACCTTCTCGCCTTTCCTGCCCCCCCCCCATTCCTCCCTCCCCCCTCTCCTGAGCTGCTGTCCTCTTTTCATCCCCTGATGGGCCCTTCACAGCTAATTGGAGAGCTAGCTGCCCACTCTTCATTAAAAGCTTTAACAGCCAGTCAATTAGGAACTACCTCCCTCCACCCCCAACACACACACACACACACACACACACACACACACACACACACACACACACACACACACACACACACACCAACTAAACCATAGTCTGTAACCATGGAGACACTTGAAGATAAAAGCCCAGTGGTCATTTCGATGGACTTGGAAAATAAGTGTCCCGGTTAATTATAGAAGTGTGTGAGGAATTACAGATGGATCTATGGACTTTCTCGTCAGTTGAACCTGATTTGAATTATTCCACGTTCACCTAATTTAACTTTCCATTCTGTGTCAGCTAGTAATGTGATGACATGAATCATGAATCTCTCAGTGCAAGTAGCAAACAAGTGTAAGTACAAGTATAAATGTGGGTGTTCCTTCTTGATCGCCTCTGTCTTTTTTTACCTGAGAGCTTTTCCTGGTTTTACCTTCCCTTGAACTATTTCTCTTGAAATGACTCAGTAGCCTACTGTGTTTTTTTTTTTGTATACTCTTGATTGTTTTAATTGTTCTTTCTGTTCTCGTTGCTTTTAAAATGTATTGATTTTATTGATTCTATTTTATTTCTGCTTTTGTTAAACACTTTGTAACTAAGTTTTGGAAACTGCTCTATAAACAAAGATTATTATGATTATGATGATTATTATTATTCAATATCAGAAACAATGTACTGCTTTGGGAAAGACAAAAAATACCAGGATTCAGGATTTAAACTGGTAGAATCCAGTAATACTAATTCAGTTACACAGCCAAGGACCTTTTTGGACCTGACTGAACAGACAGCCTCCTAGTCACGCCAGAAATGATGGTCATATGAATCAAAAGATTTATTTGAAATGCCAAAGTTCACTGCCAAAGCCGGGAGCTGTGTGCTGCACGTCAGAAAGATGTTGGCATGGTGTATTGGTGAGTAATATGTTTGACTTTCACATCAGATACTGGAGTTTGTATCCTGTTGCAATGATTAATCTTAGCTTTTTTAATTAGAACTTACTGTATTTGTCATTTTAACAGGCCACAATGGTTAGACTATTTCTGAACATTTCTCTTGCAAGCTTTGGATTATCTTAGAAAAATGTTTAAGAAACTGCAGCCAGGATTTTCAAAGGGATCACATCACCCCACTTCTTGGAACACTGCATTAGCTATCTGTATCTTTTAGAAGTGATTTTAAAGTCCTCTTTCATTTTATGTTCCTACACGAACTCACACACCTTCCACTGTATTTCATTTAGAAGTTCCTATGTTTTCCCACAAGACATTTTGTGAGGCTTTCATGCCTCTTCACTATGGCTACTCTTTGCCAAATATCGACATTTCTGTCTGACAACGGGTTTTGAGTTTGGATGGTGAAAAACCTGTTCCTCTATTGCTTCTATATACATTGATAAATTCTTCTTTGCCAGGAAATGTCTTGAAATGTTAAAAGACAAAAAAGAAGTGTAGCTCAGTGGGAAAACGAACCTCAGCAGAAGACGAAAATAAGACAATCAAAGGTCTGCGAACATTACGTCTTGGTTCTAATCAGTCATTGCTGGGAGGTTTCTGCATTACGCTGCCCACAGATTACTTGTCAGTCAAACAGTGTAGGTGGTGACGTTTATCTGTTGATAGATTTTGATTATATTTATGTGAGATCATCTCTTTTTCCTCAGTAGACTTTGTTTTGCTGCCAGACAGCCAATGATTATAATACAAAATGTTGAAGCTGAGCTGCATCCATGTTGAATTACACAAGAGAGTAGCAGGCCAACATTTGCTCTGTGGTAAATCTACTGTTCGGCACATTAAGAAGCTCTGCCCTCCTCACACTGGTCCACTCATCCACTCCCCACCCACTCGAAAACGATCTCCAGTTATTATGAGACCTGAAGAAGTCCTGTCACGGATAAACGCATTTCCCCGATGGTTCAGAACATTGGGTATTTCATCCTTATGGTGACATAAGATTCATCAGTGTCCGCTACTGATACAAGGACAGTGCAAAAGAGGAAGGAAGACCAGCTCTCTGTTTATGCCAATGAACTAATGAGAATTTGAAATGTTTTTTAAACTACAGATAGTTTGTAATATCTGTTACTGTTTTTCTTACTTTTATTGACATCTGTCTCCGCAGATGGGAAAGCGACCAGTCTCTTCTCTATCACAGTCACATAATGTTTGGCACAGCTGGGAGTGAACACACTGATGCACATGTTGTTGATTAAGACTTCTGCTACATTTGATAAATGTGAATGTGACACTAACAAATCCTATACGAATTTTTACAGGCTGTTTTCAGATTTCTAACTGTTCCTTGTGTAACTGTTTGCTAAAGCCCTCCCCTGAACAGCAACTGCTTTATTAGATTTGGGGAGGTTTATACTTTGGTGCAGTCGATCAAATCTGCTAGTGACAATCATCATTTCAGCCGGCAAAACTAAAAAATCAAGAAGCCATTGTTTCAGAAATGACTGAGAATTTTGTTGGTAAATCTCCGACTGTTTACATGTTAAACTGCGTGTGCTGAGAACGAGACGTATGGACGATGTCACGGAGTCTACATCCATGTTTTCCACAGCTAAGACGTATGCATATATATTGTAAATGTACATGTGAATGAACACATGCACGTACTCTGCGAGTGTGAGTGCCTGAAAACCACTGAACAGTAAACTGCAGTTTCTTTACAATTAAAATTCCTCAGTAAAGTGACAGATGCACTTAGATACTGTATGCACTGAAGCATTGCACACAGCAACAATAAACCATCAGCTGCTTGAGTTAAAGGTGGTGGTGGATATTTTTAGCTCTATTATTCTTGCCCCCTCTTATTGTTTTCCTCGCTGTTTGTTTCTCTCCTTACTCTTCTCCCACTCACTGCCTTATCTTTTCTCTTCCCCCTCCCTCCCTGTCTGTTTTTTCTGTGGAGACTCAGATCAATTCACAGAGAAAACACACTACATGGTCCTTTCTATGCTATAACGACACGAAAAGGGGAGATAGGAAAAACAACTTCAAGGTGACTTCATATGTGTGCATTTGGCCATAAGCAGAGGAGAACAATAAGGGAAGAAGAGAATGAGGAAATGACTACGGAGTGCAGCAGTAATTCATACATATTGGAGGAGGCTGTGCAGCAGCACAGGGAGAGGGGGAGAGAGAAGAGAGGGGATCTGGGGGTCATTAATCAATCGACTTGTCCTGACTCAAGACAAAGCACAGCTGACATGAAGGTCTTTAGCTGTCAGAGCTGCTTTACAGCCTACAGTATCGAAGAGAAGGGGAGAAAAACCCAGAGACAGGAACACAGCGAGGCATGACGCTGTGGTAACAGGTTGTGAGTTTTACAGAGAGCACTAAAGGCAGGTCTTACATCTTTGCCTTGTTTTCGAATCAGAATGTGTCGAAGTCATAATGAACAGGGGAAAGAAATACCTGTTCCAGTACCCAAAACATGGTTAAA